TGTAAGTCTCTTTAGATTCGCGGGGCCTAAAGTTCGCGGTTTCGGGAAAATGGACAATCCGCTGTATTTTTAGATTCGCGATTTCCCCTTGGCTATTGAAAGAAGAACTTGTAAAGTGCATATTTAAAAATACGAAAAGTTCGTGTCCCGGCATTTTTTTCTAAAATGCGGCGCAAAAATGTGTTTCGTGCTCCGCGCGAGGCTGCCTGCAGCTCTGTCGGTATGCAAATCTTGCATCACATGTCCGCGCTACGCGTCTCTGATTGGTTGTTGCGTCAGTGCCGGCGGTAAAGCTCGATCGATCTGAAGCGCGTGTAAACAATTTTCTTTGCTCGGAAATAAGCGCTAAAACGTTATTTTCCACGACTACCCATCGGTACTCAAGTGAAGAAATGCATAATCGAAAGAATCTTTAGGGAAAATATGTATTCCTAAGCAAATTTATGCCGTCTTCGGCGAGATTTTGTCGTTCAAACCGAACCCGGAAGTATGCAAAGGTCGCCTTCGGTAGGCTCACGCTAGCGTTTCTATCGAGCAAAATAAGAAAGAAAGAAAGAAAAAAACACCCGCAAAAGAGTACCAAAGAATCAAATAACATTTCCCAGATACCATCAGTTATATTTTTCATCAAAATATTTGTAGATTTGCCCAATGTGCCCGTAATTTTTGGGCGCCGGGCGCGCATGGCCAGCGCTAGCAAGATTTTTGTCGGGCGGTACGCGGTTAACACGGCCAGTGGCAGTGCCACAGTATCGCGATTCGGTGTCTCATAATATTATTTTTGACATCATTATGACTTAAATAATTTTGATACTCAACAAACTGTACGTACATTTGCTTAGAATAAAGTTGATTTGAAGTGATTTGTGGATCGCGTGTGTTATCAGTTGTGTTAAATTGGTTAAACTTGAGGACCGTCGTGAACGCATGTAACACAGTTAACACATTTACATTTACGCAAAACATATTCGCGGGGAAATAGATTCGCGGTACAAAGGTCCCCGCGAATTCCGCTAATCTAAATATACCGCGGAAATTTGTAGACTTACAGTACTTGAGTGTAAGTCTATTCAGGTACAGTACCAATACATTGATGTTCTGGTATTTTGGACCTGTACATGTGCACCTACATGGTTGAATGACATTTAGAATAGCTGCAACCTAGGAACTATTCGAATACCATATCAGATCAATGTGAATTGTGACATCAGATGACGCTAGAGTTCCACGACCCCCATACCTAGTATTCTAGCATTTCCTTGTGAATTATGCAAATGAGACCCTGATTTGGAATATTCACCTTCACATAACTTAAAAATGCAAGTATGAAATTACCAGCATTAAGTCACTGGATTGAACATCGAAATTCTTTTTCCTACTTTGGTGCATTTTATATGTATTTCCAAATGACCAACAGGTATCATGTTTATTTGATTTAACACTGGACAACATTGTATCATCCAAAGTACCATTATCATCAGTGCTTTTTTATCAAGCTTAGCTGCAATAACATTCATTTCAATAACAAAGACTTGCAGGATTAACCTGTACATATTTCCAGGCCAGGGCATGTAAGATAATCAGGGCTGAAAGCTCTACTCTCCTCTGGACCAGGTACCAGGGGAATTCTCCCATTAGATTAGTATATAAGTGAACCATATGGAGACTGTGGGTGTGTGAAAGTACCATGGTACATGACAGTATATTCATGGGATTGGAGTGTGACCACATGTCCTCAGAAAGAAGGAAAACCTAAGTCAGGGTTCGAGACAACTGGATAGATCAGGAGCTACACGCATAGAGAAGATGGAGGATGGGACTTAAGCCCTGAGTCCTGCCTTGATAAATTTGTTAGCAAGATCTTGGGGAGTGGACCAAAGCTAACAAGGCTGGACTCCAGGCTAGGATGGGACCTGCTGACACACCCAAGTAGAAGTACTTCCCTGCTCTGCAGGTTCCATTCATTCCTAACCACACCTGTTTGTCATTAGTCTCCAGTCTTTCCATGCAGCAGATTTTACTGCACTGGGAAAGGCTTCCAGCAAGTACCACCAACCTAGTACATGTACTAGGCATGAAATCAAGCGAAATGGCTCAGAACTGACTATCTAGCAGTGGCCTAGAGCAGTCATGGTCAATATCCATTTGATTTACCGATGCTTACAGTACATGGGACTTTCTGGTCAGCCCACAAACATTTCTGA